TATTGTAGAACACTCCTACAGTACACTGCAAAACTCAGTATTTTGTTTAATCTAGTGGGTAGACCAAATATAGGTTTTTCCATCCTTTATGAATATATCTAAGATTTACGCAGTGGTGTCATAAAGGTATCATACTTTTTAATTATACCAATGTATCGCTGTAAAATATAATTACTGTATCCATAAAACTATCTTGCGAGACTTGAAATGGAATGTTCTAATTGGGTTAAGGGCCCCCTTAAGGTCAAAGTCTCGTCAATTACCCGGATATAGAGCAAATCCTAAATTAACGTGTTTTTCTCGAAAGATCTCGTTCCATTTATGAATGAGTTAGCTCGGATGGGAAGGTGATTTAGAATTTTTAACCATTATTGTACTGAGCTGAAATACAATGAAATCTTAGTACTGTTATACTGTTAATGAGGTAAGCTTGTTATCCAGAACTCTCATAATTATGGGAAATACATTATATCTTGGACGATTCCGGAAAAGCACCATAAAAATGTATCTACCAGACCTCATTGTGAGTTTATTTCTTGATCTGGAACAACTTTTATGACTATGAATTATTATGGTGTAAACTATCTAAGAACTATTATTCTTGATAGTAAATGGCAATCAGTAGTCTAGCTACAAGCCCTTGTGACCCCCCCCCCCCCCGCCACAACAACTGTATGAGAAGGTGTGTAGTCAAGTAGAGAAGGTGTGGTCACAAAGGATTGTAGTAGACTAGACAATCAACTTACATTTCAGTTATATAAGTTAGTCTATATTAAATGTAATTGAAACTCCACTCATTTTATGTCAATCAAATTTTATTCTATTATCTTTATGTCTTGACATATAGTGTTCTGTACAGTCTACGAGCTCATTACTTTTCTAAACTGGGCAATACTTACTTGAGTGACACTATGTGTTTTAAGAAAGCGCCTTCAAGGTTTAACCCTAGATTTCTAGTGTAAACGTGATTGGCGTTAGAAAGGTCCTTTTATAAACCACCTAGACCTTTTGTCACAAAAATGTTTATAGATTTCAAATTTCAACTAAACATTTGGCCCGTATGCACTGCGTAGGTTCTGGGTTCGAAATATGGCTATGCCTAAGAAATATCTACTGTAAATGCTTGGATAATAACAAAGCAATTTCCTCGCTTATGAAACGAAAATGGTTTCTCAAAGAAACGAAGACAGTATATACACTGTAGGCGTCTGAAGCATGAAACGAAGACATCACATAAACGGTATCGAAGAGTCAAAAATAGAGTTGCATCCCTCCAAAAACATCTATAATGTGCCTCCAAGTGCAAATGTGACCCTCCATAGAGATATTCCGTTGATATATTATGCATTAGTGAAAACGAAAGTCTTCGTTGCAAATAAAACATGTCTTCGTATCGTTTGATGCCCAATAAAAGCACCTTAGCACGCCCGGTGATCGTGAAAATGGGACGGAGGGGGGAGCAAGCAATTTCTGGTAGAAAAAAGAACAAATCTGCAAAAATTATTTTTTCAAGAATAAGGTTTATGATTTAATTGCTAAACGAATAGGCGCACGGTATGGCAAAATATGTCACGTATTCTACGATTTTTTTAGCCGATTCTCTTCTTAGGTATAAGATCTATTAAAAAAGGCGCAACGCCACCAACGTGCAAAAGTCAATGTACCTTACATACCTTATTTTCATTCACACACGCATGTGTTGTATCAAGTGTCACACAAAGAGTTGGCACTAACTCCAATCACTTTACAAGAATCCAAAAGCAATGTTGAAATGTCACAGAATAGAATAGAATAGCATAGAATACTGAAAGAATTACACATGGATCAAAGTAAATTTCGAACGAACGTGTCGATTTTACACACGCATTGAGTTCAAACTCGCTTAGGATGGTTCCTGCTCACATAGGCTCTCACAAACAAGATGCACTTCACATAGGGTGGGAGATTTGAAGTCACGTAATATTTATATCCTGGTTTCTACAATATGGCGCCCTCCGTTGAAATTAAAAATATATAATTTAGCTTAATTTGGGCACCTTGCTCGTAGTAATCATTTATAAAAAGTATACAATGTGGCCATTTATTGAGAAACTACAAACTAGATCTTTTTATCTTTTTGCCGCGCTGATGTGTTATTTCGTTCAGTGCAAAAGTAACGCGAGATTTAGAAAAAAATCTCGAACATCTCTAGAAAGCAATTTATGATACATCAAGGTGTGTGATCGGTACATCAAGGTGTGTGATCGGCGCATCATGGTCTGTGAAGGGAAAAACTTTGTACGAGTCGCATAAGATACGACGTCAGATACTGTACATCACGGCGTAACCAGTAGGACGGCACATTGAAAAAACCCATTGTTGTTTACCAAACTTTATATCAAAGTGGTGTAGCGATATATGACGTCATCGCACTACTTGTTTCTGGTCCGTTGGCTACCATCTTTATGAGGTCCAATGAAACGGGAAACATTTAAACATTTGAAAATGAAAGTGACGGATAGAATTCTACTGATCTCTTCTTTCCAACTATCTCGTTTTAATGTTAGAAAAATGCACATTAATGGGAGTAAAATGCAATCAAACACGTGGGACTTTCACTCATTTTGTACCCTATATTCGTGCGAAATTAACATTGATTAAACATAATTTTTTTAAATGTCTGAATCGCTTAAAAGTTAAAGTAAATACGATATTCTATAAGTACCAAATATCAATCAGTTCCGATAAAATGCCTTCATTTGTTACATTTTCTACGAAAACGGCTGGGCATAATTTCGGTAGAAATGTGTATTTTACGACGTTATATGCATGGTTGAATCCAAAAAGTAGCGTCATTCAGGAAATTATCATGTGTGCGTAAAATCATGTGGATATTTCATTTTGAGTAACTGAATTATCAAATTGACATATATATTGTCTTTGGAACATCACCTTTACACAGAATTATTTTCATAATGATTGCTCGATTTGCTCCATGATGAAATGCAATTTTAGACCTGGAGCTGACTCGTATCAAAAAGTATTTAGCAATGAGTTCAGGCTCACTGATTTTAAAGATAGATAAAATGAACGAAAGGGGAAAGGTTATGTGTGCCTAAAAGCATGTGGATATTTAACCTTCAATAAATGAATTACAATTTTGATGTTTATATAATCTGAAGAACATCAGTCACCTTTACACATAATTATTTTATGATAATTGTTCGATTTCTTTCATGATAAACTGCAATTTTAGACCTGACACGTATTAAAGAAGTGTCGGACAATGTATTTAGGCCTACTGATTTTGAGGATAAATAAAATGAGCAAAAGAAGAAAAGGTCACGTGTGCGCAAAAGCGTGTCAGTATTTGGATTTGAAGAAATGAATTAAAGTTTTGACATTAATATTATTTGTGAAGCATCACCTTAACATAGAATTATTTTCATAATTTTTGCTTGATTCCTTCCATGAGAAAATGCAATTATAGACCTGGCACGCGTATCAAAGAAGTATTTGGCAATTTCGTCCAGTCTCATATTGGTTTTCAAGGTAAATGAAATAAGCAAAACTGAAAAAGGTCATGTGTGCGTAAATGCGTGTCGGTATTTAATTTTGAAGAAATGAATTCATTTTTTGACATAAATATTATTTGTGAAGCATCACCTTAACATAGAATTATTTTTATAATTTTTGCTTGATTCCTTCCATGAGAAAATGCAATTATAGACCTGGCACGCGTATCAAAGAAGTATTTGGCAATTTCGTCCAGTCTCATATTGGTTTTCAAGGTAAATGAAATAAGCAAAACTGGAAAAGGTCATGTGTGCGTAAATGCGTGTCAGTATTTGGATTTGAAGAAATGAATTAAAGTTTTGACATTAATATTATTTGTGAAGCATCACCTTAACATAGAATTATTTTTATAATTTTTGCTTGATTCCTTCCATGAGAAAATGCAATTATAGACCTGGCACGCGTATCAAAGAAGTATTTGGCAATTTCGTCCAGTCTCATATTGGTTTTCAAGGTAAATGAAATAAGCAAAACTGGAAAAGGTCATGTGTGCGTAAATGCGTGTCAGTATTTAATTTTGAAGAAATGAATTAATTTTTTGACATAAATATTATTTGTGAAGCATCACCTTGACATATAATTATTTTTATAATTTTTGCTTGATTCCTTCCATGAGAAAATGCAATTATAGAACTGGCACGCGTATCAAAGAAGTATTTGGCAATTGCATCCAGTCTAATTGATTTTCAAGGTAGATGAAATAAGAAAAACTGGAAAAGGTCATGTGTGCGTAAATGCGTGTCAGTATTTAATTTTGAAGAAATGAATTCATTTTTTGACATTAATATTATTTGTGAAGCATCACATTAACATAGAATTATTTTTATAATTTTTGCTTGATTCCTTCCATGAGAAAATGCAATTATAGACCTGAGACCTTATTCACAAAGCATCGCAATTTTTAGCGATTGCTATTGCTATGCGATAGCGATATAGCAATAGCAATGACGTTTTGCGCGGTATTCACAAAAGCGCGCTAAAGCAATAGCAAAGCAATCGCTATCGCAAACACGTAGCAAACATATCGCAATTATAAATAAATACAATTTTATTAATTAGCACAGTAACTCGCACCTTGTAATTAGCTTGGGCTATTAGGCTACGCCAAATACGCTAAGGCGTTTCAAATGAATGTCATTATAAAATAAAAACGTGTAAGTAATTTGAAAGTTGTTTTGTTTGCTTGTTTAAAATACATTAATTGATTAAATATTAATAGTAGGCCAAGTGCTGCTAGCAATCTTGTCACCCCTCCAGCTCAGAGTCTGCCTTTAATGGAACTAGGGTGGAATCAAGACCCAAATAGGCCTAGTCTAGTCAATTATGTAAGTCACTATATGGTGCCATTAAACAATTAAAAATGAATGGCGCGTTTTAAAGAAGCCTCTGATCCCGGGCCTAGGCCTATAATACTCCGACGCCGTATTCAATAGCTTTTACTCCTAGCGTTTTTGAACTTCGAGAGTACGCAAATGATTGCATGGAGTAGGTAATTTCAAACATTGGGAAGTTTTCCGTGTTTTACGCAATATACCATGTTCCATAAATGCGGACAAATCCGTGATTTTTTTCTAATTGAGAGGAGAAATATGATCCCTAACACGTAGAAACGTATTTTCCATTCTGTGATTGAAGTGTTTAATAATCAAAGTTGTGTATGGGTACTCATCAAATAAAATAAAACGACAATCATAGGCTATATCATACTGCCATATACAATGTAGGCGTATCTTGAAATACTTAGGCTAAATGCATGTGCAGTTGCACTCAAGTTGTGCACGTAGTCATGCACCTTGACTTTGTGCGTGAATTTGCAGCGTGTCACTTTGCAGCGCAAGGTCAACAATTACGTCATTGCTGCAAAGTGACACGTTGCAAAGTAATATGCTGCAACCAAAATGCAATGTACATTCGTCTTAATGCATTATCATTCATAATAGATTATCATTATTATTAAATATGAATATTATAGAAGACACCATTTGAAACCATAGGCCTAATTTGTACCACATGATAGTCGGACTATAATTAATCCTAAGCTATATAGTAGGCTAAATGGTTGCAAGAAGACCAATCCTTTGTGCATGAGGGCCTTGGATTGCCTTCGATTTTCCCGGGCATATTTCAAAACCGGTTCACCCGGGGCTCGCGCTTTCTTTATATAAATGCTGATGGCCATACGTTTTTGTGTATATGCATTATTTGTCAATCATGGCAACACCTACAAGATCTCGCTACTCCGAGGAACAACTGGACATGCTCGTGTCACTAGTTGAAAAAAGTTGGGATGTATTAGATGGCCCCCTTGGAGTCACTCCACTACACACCTCGGCAAATAGGGACAAAATTTGGTCAAACATAGCTAATAAAGTGAGCGCGGTAGGGCCATCACCATGGTCGGCAGAAAAGATTCAGGTAGGCTCAAAGGACTCGTTAGAGCTCTTCGAATCAAGGTTATATATTAGATTATATCTAGTTTACCATGTGCAGTTACCTGCAAAACCAAATGGTCTCAGGGAATGGTCTAAACTTAGTTTATTTAAATCGGAATATTTTCCAGGGTAAATGGCGAGATGTTACAAGTAGAACAAGAATGAAGGCAAATAGGATAAGAGCGAATGCTAACAGAACGGGTGGCGGTCCTGGCGTGAAGTTAGAGGTATTAAGACCCCTAGAAGAGCGTGAACATTGTAATTGTTTATTTTACCGACAAAATGCAAAGATTTACGCGATAAATATGCGCAATACTCCTCCAAGTAATTGCAGAAGTTTTAATATTCGTGGAATCTTCTTAAAAACTTCAAGTTTTGTTCAGATTAATGTGCGCTTCAATACAATTCTATATTCAAAAAGGTTGTGTCACGATATACAGAATTAGAATCACCAGAAAGTAGACATTTCAAACCCTACCCGTTTTCTTCTTTGTCGCGCTTTTCGGCCCTGCGCTCTCGTTGTCGCACCGTCTTTCTAGACTCTTTCACAATGCCCTATGTCATATTCAACTGATATACACAGATGGGAAGATATTAAGGATTGTTAAATGCATTATTTTAAATTTATTTTAACTCGAATATTTAGTTTTATTTATTTAAAGCAATGAATAATAAAGGAGAACATATAATACGCTAACGGCGTAACGTCTTATTTTGTAAAGGCTTCACTTGGGGTTGCGGTGATAAAATGATGTCTATCTCAATATATACTGGTTCAAATTAAATGAAATTAATTGTATGTCGTAAGGGATATATTGAAAAGAACATGCTGAAATATTGGAAAGTTTTGAATGTTTATCCCTTAATTAGAAATATTTGAACTCAAAAAATGAAACGTAATTTTGTGAATTTTTCACATGGCTTCACTTCATATTTCTTTCAATTTATGCTTCTTACAGACTGAATTTTAATCGAAATGATATAGTTTTTTGATAATATGATATGCCTTTCAGGAATCAAAAAAGAATAATTCGCCTTTCAAACGATTTAATGTTTAATTGACCAAAATATATATCTTGTTGGTACGAAATTCTGCCTGTCCACACTTTTTTTGCATAAATATAAGCGTTAAGTTAGCATTGTTATATTATGACGTCATCAAACAGAATCTGTTTGTCTTTTCCAAAATGGTGAATTTAAATATTGTGAAAATTTGAGAAAGATCCGTTAAGAAATGAAAAGGTTATCTTCATTTTTCGTTTAAAATTAAAATCATTTTTCTTCAAAATGTTACAGTCCACATCCGGTTTTAGCATAGAAAGTCGCATAATACGGCTTGCGTGATTCTCATTTAAAAAGTCCCAAATCAGTTATTTGGAATTCTGATAGGCAAAATATTTCATGGACATACGTGTTGAACTGATGAAAAATTGTAGAAAAATATGATTTTGCTGTCGAGATATTGCGGTTTTAAAAGTAAGTACGCATGTAAAAATGCAGTAAAATGCCGCGATGCACAGTATCTGACGTCGTATCATAAGCATTTGTTCGAGTTGTGTACCCTGTTCGATGTCATTTTTAAACAATGCATACACAAATACGCATGTACAAGTGTGATTTTACAAACATAGAGTGTGCAAACTCGAACAAATCGTGTATGAAATCACACGGATTGTGTATGTATTCTGCTAAACGCTATTCTATTGTGTTAGAGCGAGATATCACATAAATATAAGATGTCCAATGTTGATACAGTTGTAACACCATAAAATGTTTCGTTATATCAAAGAAAATTACCTCCTTCATGCAATGGATATATCATTTACAGGTAACCTTCACTTCTATTTAATTGAAGTCTAACAACGCTAGGAACGAAAGCTATTGAAAACGGCGCCAGAGTAACAAACTCTAAAATGTACCATTTCTTTTTCAACTGATGGCATGATATTTTTTTTCTTTTCTTTTTTTCTTTTTTTTCTTTTTATTTTTTTATTTTTTTTAATTGATATAGTGACACGATAATATTTTAATATTTACATATGTTTAAATCATAACTCTGAATGTATTAATGAGATCTGGATGTGTTGGGTCTTTTTAATTTTTTAATAAAAAATAATTTTTTGTCCGCTGTGACGGAGCAGTTTCACAGTTCATATTTGCAACTTCTCCGTCACAGCGGACAAAAAAATAAACATCATTTTTTATAAAAATAATTAAATTTTTAATCCATGTGCTCATGCTCAAGATGGGTGTGGTGGCGAAGTAATGACGAATGGACATCATCCCCAGGGTTAGTCATCTCAGTTTTAATCAGGTAGTTCTCAAAGCCCCAAAACCTGAGGAGTGAACTTCTAATGATGTAGCGATCAAATAACAGTTTTTCTAGTGTAATTCCAGTAAATGTCAACTTGGCATTGAAACAGTTGCCAGGGTATTAATCGCACTTGTGCAAGGTCAATCAAGATAAACCCCATAAAGTATATGATAATCTGCACGAAAACCTAAAATATGCGGTATACGCTATGAGAGGTATAAAAGTTAAGTAGATCACGTAGATAGATATCCTCGATCTGTAAATGGTATTACTCTAGAATAAATGAGGGGAGCCGGTGCTAATTGTAAATATGATGCAATAGTTGACACTTCAAACATGTTTTCTATATAACAACCAATAAAAACCCTTTTCAATGAAGACCCCACAACAATGTTTCCTTCTCAATTTGAACATTGTTCTTTACCACGTAAACACATCTTACAACAAAACTCAAAAGATTAATAATAAACGAGGGACTTCATAAGATATGAAATATGGTATATTTTGAAGTCAAAATTGAAATGTTTAAGATACAATAGGGTATTGATTAAATGATAGTGGAAATACAAGAGTGAGCGAGTAGCTGACCCCATACCAGATAGCATATGGGCAAGGGTAGTCATTTCCTTTTTGGATTTATATTGAACTTTTGTTCATGGTTTATCAGGTTTAAGAAATAGAAGAAGGGCCCATGAGAGAAAATCCTAAGATTTTAAGTACTTTAAATGTTGTTCTTAGTGTTTTTTAACTATAAAGATTGAAATATTAATAGTTATATATTAGACATGAGTTACATTTAAATCTATAAACGGTAATAGTCATACATGCAATGCCATTACTTGCATAAATTAATCACTGCTTGCTTAGAACCTACAATTATGAATAATAGCTAAATAGCAGAAAAATCAATGAAATCTCGTGCTGACATCTTTTATTCAGCTTTTAACTTGGGCTAGAGCTCCATTCTTTTACATGCTAAAATCTTGGAAAAGTGGCTTAATTTCATGATTTATCAAAGTGTGTTTGTTGAATCTGTATAAAACTTGAATGATATACCACTTGATGACCCTGTTCATGTACATGTTGTGATTAAACATGCAAATGTTGATTGACATACAAATAATCTACGGATTTAAAGAATTTTAGCATTGCATCTATGGACATTTGGCCCAAGTTTTTTTAAATGTTGTAGAAAATTATTCAAATTACATAACTGTGTAAATCAAAGCTATTATAGGAGAAAACATTTCACTGAATTCAAATATGCCATTTAAAAGAAGGTAATGTAAGTCATTAGAGGTCTAATATGCAAGTCTCTTAAAATCTCACGAAAAACCAGATTTAGCGAGATTTCAAAAGCTATATGGAAACTATACTATTGTGCCAGTATTGCAATTTGTTTACTATTTTTTAATCAATGTCGATAATAAGTGTCTTCAGTTTTTCATATACCAAAGAAAAGAAATTTCAATTTACTCAAACTGGTTTATCGTTATACCTTTACTTAGACAACGATTAGTAATGACAATAATCACCAAAAAGCTATGTGACCCTTAATGATTGTTGTGTAAAGTCAACTAGCTATAGGGTGTTCCAAAAAAGTGAACCCCTGCAACTGACCATATTTCCCTTATTACTTGCAGGAATTATTTTTTATTTTCACATGTTGTAGAGGAAGGTCTAAAATTTATGTTGGTACCATACATTTTGCTTAGTCTTGAAATTTGCAGAAATTATAAGCCCTAACCAAACATTACTGAAAATGGACAAATTGTGATTTTCAATATCCGCGATTCTTCAACCCTTTAACACCTTTCCCCTGAGAATTTTTTAAGCTGCAGTCTTAAAGAACTAATATTTTCTGACTTTGTTCAATTTTAAATCCTGCACATTATGGCTTAAAACTAGCATCCTACATTTGTTAGTTGCAAAGTTATTGTGATCCAAAGAGATGTGCTAAGCTTCCACAGATGAAAACATTTTTCAGTGAAATCATGAACATACCCCTATATGATCTTGAAATGTCAATATCTTCATAAATCATGGACCAGTTCTAATGATATATGGCTTAAAACATTGAATATTGGATTTTCTTTTGATTTTTTAAAGATATTTGATGAAGGGGTTATCAGATTCCTGGTCACAGGGGCAACTTCCTTCCATAAGAAGCCCCCCTCTAACTGTTGGTGTAGGTAACATACCCATTAACTGTTGAACAATTAAAAATGCTTCAAAATTATCAATGAAAGTGTGAAATGTGTTTTCTGCTTGAATAGTGTCCCTTTTGTCATATGGTAGGGTTTTAACTGAAAGCTGTTTAAGATCTTCCAATCAACAATTTCCGTGAATCACATTTGTAAAATTTTGTACAATATCTAATTTCCAGGCATGTTTCTTAAACGCTTGTAATTTCTTTAAAATTTAAGACTGAGAATAAATTATGGCATCAACCAACATTTTAGACCTTTCTCTACAATATGTGATAATATGAGCCAATTCATGCATGTATAAAGAAAAATGTAGCTTGTTGCAGGGGTTCACTTTTTTGGACCACCCTGTAGAATTATATTTTTGCAAAGCGCAAATTTCTCTATATTCTTGATGTGCACTATAATGAGACATCTGAGGGGACTAAAGTGGGTCCTAATGACAACCGTCCTTTTTGTGGATTTTCCTCGTATTTATTCTTGGAATTTTTATGATATGCAAAACATGAACTAATTGGTTTTTGGGCATTAGCTTAATCTTTAGGTAGTGGGATGACATACCAATTACTCTTCAGCCCTTGTCAGTTTATTAGTAAACAGTTTAAGCAGTAAGATGTCGACTTTCTATATTGATTTTTTGAAACTACAACCGCCGTACGATCGCCGTGAAGCAAATGTGACAGAGGCTTTGACTGATCTTAAACAATTTTACTATGTTGCATAATGCCTTG